GAGTTACCCTTTGTACTATATAAGCACCGCCTTTACCTCTGCTCTCCATTTGGTTTTGCCTCGCTTTCTCTCGTGTTCTCTCTATTGCTAGTGCTCTCTCTGCTTTATCCATCCGATCAAATCGTCAACTGTAAGATTTCCTTTTCACCAATGCTTTTTGAATACTCGCTTGTGTTCAATTTGCGGTGTTTCAGTGGTGTTTTTTTTTTCTTGGAGAGGTAAATGGAACCCTAAAAGAATGTTCTTTATTGTTTCCGGTAGAAATGTTCTTCAGGTTTATATTGGGCTAGGGTTTAGGAACTTTGATCGAACCTGAAAAAGTTTCAGGAACTTGATTTATGCTCATGGTTAGCATTGGGTTGTTGGGTTGTATTTTACACACTTTGCCGTCGAGAGAGGACGGAAGAAGTATATAGTGTTAGAATTATGTGGATTGGTTTGTCTATCTTTTACTTTGATGGCATGTGGAATTTTGTCTTCGTTTCTATTCTTCTTGATCGAGGTTTTAGTTGTTGAGTGCTTTTGTTTGGTGTTTACTGTGTGAATTATCAACGTTTTGGTTTTTGGATGATGAGATGTTATTGCCTTGTAGTATGCATTTGAGCTCACTTGTTCAGCAACTTGTTTTCCTGTACCTGATTAGTTGATATAGGGTCTCTAATGGAATTGGCAACGCAGAATGGCGTTGCCTGATGCCTGCATGCAGTTGAGATTGATGCTCTTTATTTTGTTTTGAATTGTGTGGAGTGATTTGGATTCTGGAATTAACCTCAGCTTTTTTTCTTTCTAGTTTAATTCACGAAAGTTAATAGCATTGATGTTCATTGCAAGTTGAAGCCATATTCATAAGACAGCATGGGATTTGACAACGAGTGCATACCAAACATTCAATCTCTAGCTGGGGAGTATTTCTGTCCTGTTTGTCGGCTGCTTGTTTATCCAAATGAAGCACTACAGTCACAGTGCAGTCATCTATATTGCAAACCATGTTTGACATACATTGTTAGTACCAGTCGGGCTTGTCCTTATGATGGTTATTTGGTGACAGAAGCAGATTCCAAGGTTTTTCGCTTTCTTTACACTCTATGCTGTTATACTTTTCTTAGTTTTCTATTCCCCCTCTCCCCAGCCCTTCCATGAAAAAAGAACTCTTCCTAGTTTCTTATTTTTATTGTAATTGCTGATTGATATGTAATTTTTCTGTAACCTTTTATTTCAGCTTTTGGTAGAATCAAATAAAGCACTTGCTGAAACTATTGGCAAAATAGTGGTTCATTGTCTATACCACAGGAGTGGGTGCACCTGGCAGGGGCCTCTAGCAGACTGCACATCGCATTGTACTGGGTGTGCTTTTGGCAATTCACCTGTTGTATGCAACAGATGTGGAATCCAGATTGTTCACCGACAAGTACAGGAGCATGCACAGAATTGTCCAGTAAGTTGAAGAAGTCAATTTATTAATATGAACATTAACTTTCATGTATTTTTGACGAGGCTCATTCTCTAACCTTTTTTTTTTGTTTAATGACAGGGTGTGCAGGTACAATCCCAAGCTCAGCAGGTTGAGGGTTCTCAGGATGCTGCTGTCTCGGGCACAGCAGCTATCGGTAATCAGCCTCAGACTGGGAAGGTTAGGGCAACTACTACTGAATCACAGACATCTCAAACTACTCCAGCTCTGGGAAGTGGTTCAGTTCAGCAGGCCAGCTCTAATTCCCAAGTCCAGGCAGTATCTGCTACCGGGCTAACTCCAGAAGTATGGTATCAACAACAATATCAACAGTACTACCAGCAGTATCCTGGCTATGATCCATACCAGCAGCATTATCAGCAATATTATCCATATCAACAGCAAGCAGTAGTGCAATACCAGCAGCCTCAGGCTCATGCACCACATACGGTTGGCCAGCATCAAGCTCAGTTATATGCGCAACCACAGCCGCAACCTCAACCATTAGTGCCCCCTCAATCACAAGGACAGGCCCAGGCTCAGCCCCAAATCCAAACCCAATCCCAGCCTCAAATGCAAGCCCAATCGCAGCCGCAGCCGCAGCCTCAGCCTCAGCCTCAGCCTCAGCCCCAGCCCCAGCCCCAGCCCCAGCTCCAGCTCCAGTCAATGGGACAGCCTCAGTCACATCCCCCAGTTCAGGCAGCTGTCTCTTCTCAACCTCAGAGTCAGGCACAAATCAACCCGCCGCCTCAAGCTCATCCTATCAGCCTGCAGCAGTCTCAAGTTTCATCACAGACTCATCCACCATCTTCGGGACACCAACAGCTACAAGCTCAGCCTAGTCCGCAGGCCTACCCAAGTCAGCAACATCTGCAACATGTGCAAATGCCTCAATATCAGCAGGCTTCTGTTCAAGGGCAACAACTGCAACCCCAATTTCAGCCACAGGCTCACTCTCAAGTTCATGCGCAGCATCACCCAGTTCCTCAATCTCAAGCTCAGCCACTACAGCATATTCAGCATCACTCGCAGCCCCATATTCAAACCAACCCTCTACCACCTAACCAGTCTTTCAATCCTAATATGCAGTCCCAGATGCTGCAACCATCAGCACATTCAGTTACGGGCCATCAAAGTTATCCACAAACTCTGTCTCACCTTCAAATTCAATCGGGAGCCCCACAGCATACTGCTCATGTGCAGCCTCAAGGTGGGTCTCATCCATTGTCACAGCCTCCTGCTCAAATTCAGAATCAGTATCCCCAACAGTCTCCTAATCTGCATCCACCTCAATCTCATGCTACAATGCTAAATCAGCAACAAGCAGCTTTGGTGCCTTCTCCAGGTCAAATTCCTAGTATGCCTATAACACAACAGCAGCAGCCGCTACATCCTCATGCCCATCAACCAGCACTCCTTTCACGGCCTATTATGCAGCCAGTTCAACAATCCATGCCTCAGCAATATGCACAGCAGCAGCCATTTGCAGGGCAACAACCAGGCCCATTTCATAATCAAATACATCAGCAAGTTCCTTTTCCACAACAGCAGCTGCCTGTGCAGCCCCATTTGCGTTCCCAGGGACCACTTCAGTCACTCCAGCAATTTCCGCAACCACAGCAGAATGTTCCATTATTGCAAAGCATGCAGCCCCATCAGTTCCAAAAATGTTGCAGATCGGCCTTATGATGCGGGAACCCATGGGACTACAACCGCAGCAATATCAACAATCTGTGGTTGGTGTACAAGGTAGGCAGATGCAACCTGGGTCAAGGCTTTCTGGTGGTCAGACTGATATTCCTGGGACCAATAATCAAATGCAATCTGGGGCAAGTTCTAAACCAACAGTGCCTGAAAAGCATGGAGACCACATGACTGTGAGAAGTACAGACGAGAAAGAGGATGCATGTTCCTCTGGTAAGGCTGCTAAAAAGGATGCAAACGAATTGAATGGAACATCTTGTTCTGGGAAGGATGCAGTTTTGTCGAGAAGCCTGAAGCCTGAAACTGTTATGAAAAATGTGGGTGATGATTTGAAACCTAAAGATGAAGTTGAAAATAAATGCTCAACTAGTGCAGTTATTGAATCCCGTTCAGCAGAGAATGGAGAGCCTTTAGCTAAGCAGATTGTCAAGGAAGAGGGGCCAGTTACCACTGATAAACTGGCAAGGCATTCTGCAGTAGATGAAAAGGAAATTCGGGATGGCTCTCTCATGACAACTCCTACATTGCAGGGTGCTGAAAAGCTTGAAGAGCAGAATGGGAAAGTGACTAAAGACAAAACTCACCCACAGATGTTGGGTTCTACTCAGAAGCCTGGAGTTCATCCACCTGGTAAGGTGCAGGCAGGAGGTGTCCTAACTGACCAAGGAAGGCATCAGCCATCAGTTAACTATGGGCAAGCACTTCCAGGACCACCACCGCACATGCCAGCACTAGCACACCCTCCTGTCCAATTTGGACCTCAAGGTTCCGGTCATTTGGGGCAGCCTCTAATTCCTCATGGTTCTGAAAATCTTCCTGGTGGCAATCTTGGTCCTGCCTCTGCAGCATCCTTTGGAAGGGGGCCTGATCAGTACGGTCTTCCCCAGCATGGCACTGAACCACCACTGTTCTCTTCTCAAGGGCTTCAAGGTCATCCTCCCCCTTCACATATCCCAAGGATATCTCCCAGTGCACTTGATTCACATGCTGGGATGATAGCAAGAGCACCGACACATGGCCCAGAAGCTCCGTTTGGTCAGCAGCAACCAACCAATCCTGTTGAAGCTGAAATGCTTTTAAATCAGAAGCCTGGATTGATGGAACGTGGTCCACATGGAAGGCCTTTTTCATCTGCGTTTGGACTGCAAAATGAGAGGTCTAAGCCCTTACAAGATGAGCATTTGGATCCCTTCTCAATGGACCCAGGTCGACATGTTATTGGTCGGGGGGACTTAGAATATCCAAAACAATTCCCAAGGTCTTCTCATTTTGATGCAGATTCTGGTCCAAAATTTGGGACTTACATTTCCTCTTCAAGGCCTCTTGATAGGGGTTCTCATGGTTTTGGCATGGATGTACCCCTGAGGCCTCATGAAAAGGGGCTTCATGGGATGAACTTTGATCCTGGGCTGAAATTAGATCAGATGGCTGGTTCTGTCACCTCAAGATTCTTTCCTACCTACAAGGATACGGGAGAAAGACCACTTAGTCTCCGTGAAGAGAGTAAGGGGAGATTAGAAACTGCACGTATTCATCCTGACTTTCTTGGACCGGTTCCTGGATCTGGTCGGAGACATATGGATGGTTTGAATCCTAGAAGTCCAATGAGAGAATACCCTAGCATATCCCCACGTGGATTTGGTGCTCTTCATGGTGGTCTTGGTAGCAGCCACTTGGGACTGGATGATATGGATCACAGGGAACCGCGTCATTATGGTCCACCCAGCCATTTGCATAGAGCTGAGTTTGATGGTCTTGGGAATTTTAGGATGGGTGAGCATATGAGGAGTGGTGACATGATTGGTCCAGACCT